CTCTATGTCTTTCTCATCCTCAGTGCTGCCGTATTGGTCACTCACATTTGGTACATTGCCCTTCTCTTCACCCAAATCAATACTTATTTCTATCTGTCTAACAGCATTCCTTCCCCTCCCCTCCCACCCGTGGTAACCAACAAAGAAAATTCCCTTCTACAGATAAACCTTTCCTTAACTTTTAATAGGATTTCTTCTTAATTATTGAAATGTATTTTGACTTCTCTATCTTGTTTCTTAGAGATCAGAGCTGTACTGATATACTAGATACTTACAACAAAATTAAAGCAGAAGAACTAAATAGCACTGATGCAGAGGAGGTAAGAATCACAGCATGAGTTGAATGAAATCTTTTTCTGTTATTTGAAGTCCAGTGTTGCATATAAGTGTTGTAATTGGTTATGAGCAGTGAAACAGATTTCTGAAAGCTGGTTGAACACCTGTATCTTTTTATATTAAACTCTTCAACTTGTATTTAGATGGCATATGCCAAAAATGTAATAGTTCTGCAATGTTCAGAGACAGGTGGCAAGTCTTTCCATTTGACTCATTAGGTTTTAGTGATAAGAAATCAGCACTTTATTTTTCAGCCCTTAAATACAAGATAAAGCACTCAATATATTTTTTTAAATGTCTAGTTGTTGGGAATTTTCATACGAATTTTATTTTCTATACATTGTATGTAAAATATTTCAAAATTTCAGCTTTGGAAGTTTAAATTTTTCAGTTTCATGGAATTGCTAGTTGATTTCCTTTATGGAAATTTATAAACATAAACCAATCTTTTCTTAGTGAAATATACCAAATATACCAAATTTTCCTACCCACCCAGCCATTTGACTGGATGGTATGATAAAGAGAAGCAAAAACCAAGATAATAGTCTGGAACAAAATGTAAAGTGGTACTTCAGAAACCTTTAGTGGAAACCAATTCATCCTAGGGATGTGTGACTAAAATATGATAGATTGTTTTGCAGTGCCATGAAATATTTTGAATGTTTATATTGTCTGTATTGTTAATGTCAAGAGTCTGCTGTTTTCTTTGGTACTGTTTCATAAAAATGTATGTGACTATAAAGCATTATAAATATTCTTGTATAAATATTATTTATATAATAATAATAATAAATATACCAATTAGATATTATCCTCCTGAAGAAAACCATGAAGAATTTATGATCCTTATTCCTTATATTTTCACTGACTTTGCACATGAATGCGCTTTGACTCAGGATTTGATATAGCAAGAATCATAGTAGTACTACACAGATTAGCATAGAAAATTAAAGTAAACTGTAATTCAACAGCTTGATTTTTACAAAGGTGTACCAATAGCTTCATGAGCTACTTTTATCCTTCCAAGGAGTGCCTGGTGGGTTTGAACCAACATCCTTCTGGTTAGCAGTCAAATGCCTGCCTTAGGTACTATGCCACCAGAGCTCCCCTTATTCTCATAATTTGAGTTGTGATCACCAGGTGAATAGTGTTGCCTGGGCCTTGGCTCTTTGTATTAAAATATAATCCCTCAGACTCATCAGATAGATACTTAGCTACTGCTACTGTAACAGCAATACCACATGTGGGAGGCTTTAAGGAATAGAGGTTTTTTTTTTTCTCCACAGTACTTTGTTGTTGTTATGTACCATCAAGTTAGTTCTGACTCATGGTGACCCTATAGAACAGAGTAGAAATGTCTCATAGGGTTTCCTAGGGTGTAAATCTTTTCGGGACTAAATTACCAGGTCTTCTCTATGGTAGAGCAGCTGGTAGGTTCAAACCACTGATCTTCGGTTAGCTGCCAAGTGCTTAACCAGAGCTCTACCAGCGCTCTACTCTCCCACTTCAAGATACTAGAAATTTGAATTTGGGGAACTGGCTATAGGGGAAGTTTCTCTCCTTAGCTCTGGGGGATGATCCTTTTCTCTGTCTAATCTGCTCTTTTTATAACTCAGAAGTGGTTAGGTTCAAGGCATGCCCTACACAGCTATTGCCTAGTTAATGTAACAAAACTAAATTTTCAAAAGATGATTGCACCCACAGGTTAGGATTCTAACCCACATTTTTTGGAGGATATAATTCAACCCATAACAGATCATTTAACTGAATTGTATGAAAAAAAAA